TGCAATATATATATATATATTATATAAATAAGGAGGAGTTTTATATAAATAAGGACTTTTAGTGAAAAGTATTGTCAAAACCTCACAATAAATTTGTGGATTTATTGAGTTAAAAAAAAAATTTAAAAAGTAGTATTGTAATAGTTTTTAAAACATTAATAATTCTATAATTTATAGTTTTCAAAAGAAAGATAAAAACAAAAATATTCCATATCTTTCCAACCTAATTCTCTCCCCCACTGATTTTTATTTCCCTTAAAAAAAAAAATTAAAACTTGCTTCTTACTATATTATTATATTATTTACACCATACATAAGTACTCTCAAATCTTTAGGAACTTTCAAAATATTTTAATTTAATTACACACATTTAATTTCTTTTGTATACTTTTTTTTTTCCTTTTTGATTTGTTTTTTACACTCATATGTACTAATATTTGAGCCTAAATTATAATGGATGTAAAAAGAAATTAAGTGTGTATGATTATAAGCACCCTTCATATTAGCCTCATTCATTGATTTTGTTTTCGAAAAAAGAAAAAAAAAATCACATTTAATTTCTTTTGTATACTTTTTTTTTTTCCTTTTTGATTTGTTTTTTACACTCATATGTACTAATATTTGAGCCTAAATTATAATGGATGTAAAAAGAAATTAAGTGTGTATGATTATAAGCACCCTTCATATTAGCCTCATTCATTGATTTTGTTTTCGAAAAAAGAAAAAAAAAATTCTCTATCTCGTCAATTTAATTCTTTAGTTTATGGATTTTCACACTACTAAAAGACAAATTTTTTTAGTATTTTTTATAATGGTAACTTCATTTCACAAATAATTAATTATTTTTAAAATGTTAAAACATTTTACATGAAAATTTGTATTAAATAAAAATTTAAAATGAAAATTATGATTTGTTTTGAGATTTCACTTCCTTTATCAAGTTCTATGCTAAAAATAAAATATATGAATTAGGTTAATCTGATCTTAAATAATTCTTTTAGATATAAATATAATTTAATATTAGACATATTTTAAGAATAAATATATAATTTCTTAATTGAAGTTTTAGAATATTAATAAATATGTCAAACATATATTCATATATTTTTTATTTTGGTTTTAAAAATTTGACAATATTTTTATCATTTTAAAAAATAAATAAGTGGGCAATGTGATGGTTGGGCATGAACCAAAACAATTATCTAAAAATTAAATTGATATATAGCATAAAAATCAACCAAATCTAGTTTTTACACTTCTTTTAGTATTTGATCCAGTATTAACTCATACCCATCATAACTTAACAAATTATTAAACATAAACTTAAATTGATTATTATTATTAGTTTTCACTAATTGACTGATCAATTTTTAAATCGAGCCCAAGGTAAGACGAGAACAAGCTCCATATTTTAGGTCGACTCAATATTATATAATTTTTTCAGACGCAAATATACTTAATTATTTGTTTATGAATTTTTAATATTAATATATAATTCTTATACAAAAAAAAATAAATATGCCAAAAATATACATACATTTTCTTATTTTGGTTATAAAAATAATCATAATATATTTACCAATTTAAAAACAAAAAAATAAGTGGGTTAAGTGATCATGAATTAGGTATGAATGAAGATAACTCTCCAAGAATTTAATTGTTGGCATAAAAATTGATTTTAATCTAACTTCTAAACTACTTTTAATGTTTAATGCAAGTATTATCCCTCAAATTAGTTCATACTATTCAAAACCTGAGAAATTATAATATAATTTAAACATAAAATTTAAGTTGATTATTGCCAACTATTTCTATTAATTAACTGATCAAAATTTTAAATAAGGTCCAAAGTATGGTTAGAACAATGCCCATATTTATGGTTGACTTTGGATAGTTCTTTCACACATAAATATACTTAACTATTCATGTAATAATTTTAAATATAAATATAAAATTTTATCAAAATTTGATTTTTTTTAATAAGTATGCATAAACATGTACATATTTCTTATTTTATTATAAAAAAAATACTAGCATATATTTATTCACCAATGGTTCATGTTTAGACATAGACTAAGACAATTTTCTAATGATTAGATCAATGCCAAGTTGAGATAAATATTGAGTCAATTAGATTATCATTGTTAGTATCTAGCACACTATAAATTCTCAACCAAACTCTTATTTGTTTGTATTCGTGAATTATGGCATAAGAGAAACTATAATTTTATGCCTAAATAGACATATTTTTTAACTTTTACAAAATTACAAAATAGACAATGGGTAGTTAATAAATTGACAAATATAATTTATTATATGATTGGGCTATCGCTGGCATAAAATAAATTAAATTGCAAAATTTATAAGACAAAATATATTTATATTTCATTGTAAATATAAATTTTGTAATTTTATTGCACATTTTTAAAAATACATTCTACCATAGTTTATTTATTTCTTATAAATACATTTTATGTTGTTATTTAATTTCAAAATTATTTTTTAATTATTTATTTAAACCTGTGCATAGAATAGGTATTATGGTTTATAAAATAATTTTAAAAAATTACACCCGTGCTATGAAGATCCGTTAAGAAAAAGTGAATGAGAGGGAAGAATAAGAAAATGATCAAATGTGATATGCCAAAACTAGCGAGGGTGAGAAAATTTAAAAGTTGTACTTGATATGTAAATGCTGATTTCATAAAAGATAAGAGGATAAGCGTCATTGGTAGTTCATTGTTTCTTATTTTCATTTTGTTATTCAATTTTTTGATTTAAACAAATTTTGCTAGATTGCATTTCACAAAAAATATTATTATTATTATTATATGGCAAAATAAAAAAAATGTCGCTAATAAGAAATAATAATAATAATTATTGAGTTTTATATAGTTTACGATATCATTTAATATATGGCAAACTAAAATTATAAAACCCTTAGAAAATAATAATGTATTTCTATTTTATCATAGGCGTAGTTTTCGTTCCTAAAAATTAAAATTAAAAAGTGCAATTTTATAATTTATCATGTTTTTATTTAATTTTTACTAATTACATTTGATTCATATTATTGTTATTTAGAATTTAAAACATAGCATTAATGGTAAGGGGAAAAATCATACGTGAAATTATGATAAAAATAATTAAAATTTTATTTTTTTATTTTTTTATTGTTTAATTTTAATTTTAAAATTAATTATTAATTATTTATTTGAAAGAACACGGGTATTATACTAGTATAAGATATTACAAATGCGATTACCTTTGATTTCTGGTGAAATCAAGAAGAATTGTGATTTATATATGTATTTATATAATATTGATCTTTACTTTCTCTAATTGTAGTTTAATGGGTAAGGCAAACAGAGAATGGATTTCTAATGCTCTCTCTAATTGTAGTTTAATGGGTAAAGCAAATAGAGATTGGATTTATAATGCTCTTCTTTCTATGCGAAACAATCAGACTTCTCCAAAAATTCACCTCCCACATCTACAATTTTTCTCATTCAGAACTCAATATTACTCTCTTTAGGTGGTCGTTACAACCAAATTCCCGCCCATCACTGCCGCATCCGTCGCAGCTTACCAGTGGTGGAGTCGAAAATTAAATTACATGGGGAATTTATTAATTACAATATCAAAAAATTTTACAAAAATATTTTACGTAAATTTTTACGACTGATTTCGAGAAATATCAAAGAAATAATGTTATTTGTAATTAGTGTATCATGAACAATACAAAAAAAATATAAATATAAGTCTTAAAATAAATTATATAATGATAAATTATTATTTTTTTATATAAAATTTGATTAAAAATTCAATATAATAATAATACCACGTCATCATTGGTATGTGATATCACTCACTAATAATAAATAAACACATAGAGAGTAAACTTAACATGTCAAATGTAACTAACAATCTAATGAATTTCATATCTTTATAGTGAGATTACATATACTTGCATGTCACTAATAATGGCATCACCGTTACATGAAATTTTTTTTATAAATTTTCATAAATAATATGGTTTATAGCAGTCTTTTCATTTTCAATCAAAATAACCATTATTGTTCTCATAATTTTTAAAATGTCATTGACATATCACTCTAATAATATTTTTTGTAATTTTTTTATTTAAAATATTTTCTTTATGTTTGTAAAAATTTTTTTTAAAAAAAAAATTCTCAAAATTCAGGGGGCATGTGACCCGGTGGTCCCTTACTCCATTGCCGCCTACCATCACCCTTTGAAAACCCTACATCTAGGACTAGGGTTTAGGGAGTGGAGGAGGAAGAAAAAGAAGAGGGAGAAGAGAGAAGGGACCCCGGTCGATGGCGACAGAAGAGGAGGGGTGAGATGGAGAGGGGCGACAGTTGGAAATGGCACCAACAGTGAGTGAGCCGTTGTATGAATGTTTGTTTGTCGGTCTGGGTATGTGTTTATATATATATTTTTGGGGGAGTCTTAAGTAAAATGATGTCATTTAGTTCAAATGCAAGAAAACTCTAGAGAGATCAACTCTAGCGGATCTGGACGCCTACTCAAAAGTCGTAGCTTTGTGGATAAGAGTTCACTTCCGTTTTTTGAAAAATAATTTTCGCGACTCAAATTAGCAACAAGCCTTTAAATTGGACCAAGAAAACATTTCTAGCTAACCTTGCTATAATTTTGTAAAATTTAACGTCAATCCTTTTTAACAGGACCTGAAAATCATTCTTGGTTTACAACCCACCAAACATTACAAGATAAATAATCTACAATGTTATATCTACCAAATTTTAATTCGTTCAAATTGTCCGAATTTATGTATGTCGGTCATCCGAGCGGATGTCGGTTGACACGGATGTCGGTAGACAGCCACGGTTGACAAGGATGATGCCAGAAATTCGATCGGTTGTCCAACTTACGTAATTCGGGCAATTCAAGCGAGTCGAAATTCAGTGGATTAATTATTTTTCATAAATAATTACAGGAATTTTAGCACATCCCTGTTTCGCAATGTTAAACATGCAATTTTATTTATTTATCATAAAGGTCCTTAATTCCCATCAAATCCAAGGCTAAAAGTTAATACAGAACACAGAAAGTTTCAGATAGAAAACAAGATTACACAGTACTAGTAAAAACTGAAACATATAGCCCCAATATTCATTCAAATGGGTCAGAACCTTCAAAGCTTTGCATCCTTCAACTGGAACCTTCACCTGAGTTTGACTGACAACATCAGTTTATGCCTTAAAAATAAACTTACAGCAAGGAACCTACCATGCTTTGCTTGCACATGGAACATAAGTCATTACTAGACAAAAAAAAAAAGAATTTATAAACTTCGAATACTTCTAGGACTCTAAGCATGGATATGATACAAGATTTAGATGATATGAGGCGCATGATGCAGACACATTAATAAGTTAAATTCTTCAAGAGAGAAAAAACATGTACAATCGATGCCCATAATATACAATCAATCATGTAACTGATTACTCATTATTCACAAAGAACCACATTGATAATAGTTGCATTGAATTTTCAACTAATATTAATATTCATAGAGGGGAAAAGGAGGTTATATTGTATGGACATTTAACACAAAGACAAGATTCATATTTTCCTTGTTCTTTATGATATGTTCAAAATTTTGAAAACATTGTTGAGCTTTCACATCTTTTTTTTAAATAAATAAATAAATAAATTAAAACTCCTTATTGTGTTTTTACTCACAAGTATTTACATGGTAGAAAAGCCACATCAAATTCATGGCATGTCAAATGCACATTCAGGAACTAAGAAGCACAGACATGCAGCATGCGATGCAAAGGGGTTGATTTCCCAGTCAAGGTTTGTGAAGAACAGGGGGTGACTTCAGAGGTGATATACAAGCAATGCAGATGTTATGGTGAACAACCCCAAACGAAAAATTCAACTTCAAATGGTGAGGAACAGGATCAAGTGCAGAGGTCTATTGTGGGGAGCAAGGAGGGTGAAGATGAAGCTGATGTAGAGGGCGACGTTGGTAGGGTGCTGGATAACACAGGTGATGCGACGGCAAGGAGGCCAAGGGTAGGATATGATGACTATACAGCCACTGATGGACAACTGAGGGAGCTAAGTATGTCTAGGGTTGAGGAGACTATCATGTCGATAGGTCAGCTGGACTGCTTGCAGAAGCATCCTGGAGGTGGAGTTGGAGCTTGCGGGTCCCAGTCAGTCAAATCAAGGCCAACACCTTTTCAAATTCAAAATGAAGGTAACTAGATAATAGTAGATGATGTTATTACTCCAGGCTTTATGAAGAGTCTTAGTGGGCCAGAAAAGGATGCACCTGGGCTTAATATAGAGGTGGCATTAAGGAAGGCCCATAGCTTACAATGTGGTACCATTCTGGGCCATAGATCTTCTGAATTAAGTGACCCAAATGATCTGCTAACAGAGGAGGATGCAGTCCAAAATAGCAATGGAAAGGCAACTTCTATCAGTGTGGATAAGGAGCCTTTCGGTGAAACAAGAAGTAACACGGCAGTGGGAGATCAAAAAAGGAAAACTACTACAAAAGAGAAAGGTAAAGGGTTGGTGAAATATCATAGGAAGAAAAAAGGAAACCTACAAATAGGGGTTGGATCAGTTTTGAATTTCAGGAAAGGGGCCATTTTTAGGTCAGCAGCTGCAGCTATTTCTTTGTCCATGGCAAGCAAATCGGGTTCTGGTCAGCTGCTCCTGAATGAGGCAGAAGCGACTCTGAAGATAGGGAAGTTGCTAGGGCTGAAATGTAAAGGGAATGATGAGGAAGTAATTAGCAAATTGATGGAACTGGAAGTTAAGGATAAGGAGGTGCTGGGTAAGAAGGGTAGTAAGGCAGAGTAGTCTGTATCTGCTGTGGAGTTTTTGGTGAGTAAATTTGTTTTAATGAAGCTCTTATCTTGGAACGTTAGAGGGCTAGGCAAGTCCATTAAAAGGAGGAAAATCAAAAAACTTCTATTTGAAAGAAAGGTGGATGTGGCACTGTTTCAAGAAACAAAGAGACCTGCTGTAACTGATGAATTTGTCAGATCTTGTTGGCCTGGGGAACACATGGCCTATATGGCTGTGGACTCAGAGGGTGCAGCTGGTGGTCTACTGTGTGTCTGGAATCCACAAGTGTTTCAACTTCTAGACTGCTGTTGTAACAGGTATTTTATTATTTTGTCTGGCACCCTTTTTACAAGCATTGCTTGTGTTATTGTGAATGTTTATGGCCCGACTGATGGTGCTAATAGGAAGGGATTATGGGAAACTTTGAAGAATTTGAAGAGAAGCTTTGTTAATCCTTGGTGCTTGGGTGGTGACTTTAATGAGATTAGGACATTATCTGAGAGGGTGGGCTGTTCTCAAAGAAGTGGTGGTATGAAGGACTTTAACGAGTTAATTGATAACCTGGAAGTGTGTGACTTACCAATGTTGGGGAGAAAGTTCACTTGGTGTAATTCTCAGAATGGTCTCAAATGGAGTAGGCTGGACAGGTTTTTAATTAGTCCAAATTGGTTGCAAAAATTTAATTTTAAATTGTGGGGATTACCAAGAAGGCTCTCGGATCATTGTCCTATATTAATGATGGAAGACGAAAGAGATTGGGGTCCAAAGCCATTTAAGTTTCTAAATGCCTGGTGTCTTCATCCGCAGTTTAAGATTTTTGTGCAGAAAATTTGGGCTGAATCTCATGTAAATGGTTGGGCTGGATTCAAATGTTTACGGAAACTGAGATTACTTAAAGCAGCACTGAAAAGATGGAACCTTGAGGTGTTTGGCAAGGTGGATTTTAAACTCAAGCAACTGGAGGAGGAGATACATGTCTTGGATTTGGTGGCTGAACAAAGATTACTCACTGATGCAGAGAGATCTACACTTAGGGAGTTAAAAGGTGAAGCATGGAATTTGAGTAAAATGGTTGAATGGTTATGGCTGCAGAAGTCCAGAGCTAACTGGTTATTAAAAGGCGATAGAAATACCAAGTTTTTCCATGTCATGGCCTCCACGAGGAGGAATAGGAATGCACTGTGCTCAATTGAGGTTAATGGGGCCTTGACTGAGGATCCTAAGGAAATTAGAACCGAAGTGTTCAATCATTTTCAGCGTCAGTTTTCGGAATCATGGTTTGATAGGCCAAGTTTATATGGTCCATTTAAGTCTATTGGGGTTGGAGAGGCACGTGCTGCGTTGGAAGCTGAGTTTACAGAATCTGAAGTTGTGGTAGCTCTCAAGAATTGTGATGGGAATAAGGCCCCTGGCCCTGATGGCTTTAATTTTATGATGCTCCAGAAGTGTTGGCAAATAATTAAAGGGGATGTGATGCAGTTCATGAGTGAGTTCCATACTAACTCAAAGTTGGTGCTTGGTATTAATAGTTCCTTTGTAGCCTTGATTCCAAAGAATGAAAATCCCTCTTCTCTCAGTGATTTTAGGCCTATCAGTCTGATTGGATCATTGTACAAAGTGCTGTCTAAAGTCTTATCCAGTAGACTTAAGGTGGTTTTACCGAAGATTATTAGTGAGTCTCAATCAGCTTTTATAGGGGTGAGGAACAGGATCAAGTGCAGAGGTCTATTGTGGGGAGCAAGGAGGGTGAAGATGAAGCTGATGTAGAGGGCGACGTTGGTAGGGTGCTGGATAACACAGGTGATGCGAAGGCAAGGAGGCCAAGGGTAGGATATGATGACTATACAGCCACTGATGGACAACTGAGGGAGCTAAGTATGTCTAGGGTTGAGGAGACTATCATGTCGATAGGTCAGCTGGACTGCTTGCAGAAGCATCCTGGAGGTGAAGTTGAAGCTTGCGGGTCCCAGTCAGTCAAATCAAGGCCAACACCTTTTCAAATTCAAAATGAAGGTAACCAGATAATAGTAGATGATGTTATTACTCCAGGCTTTATGAAGAGTCTTAGTGGGCCAGAAAAGGATGCACCTGGGCTTAATATAGAGGTGGCATTAAGGAACGCCCATAGCTTACAATGTGTTACCATTCTGGGCCATAGATCTTCTGAATTAAGTGACCCAAATAATCTGCTAATAGAGGAGGATGCAGTCCAAAATAGCAATGGAAAGGCAACTTCTATCAGTGTGGATAAAGAGCCTTTCGGTGAAACAAGAAGTAACACGGCAGTGGGAAATCAAAAAAGGAAAACTACTACAAAAGAGAAAGGTAAAGGGTTGGTGAAATATCATAGGAAGAAAAAAGGAAACCTACAAATAGGGGTTGGATCAGTTTTGAATTTCAGGAAAGGGGCCATTTTTAGGTCGGCAGCTGCAGCTATTTCTTTGTCCATGGCAAGCAAATCGGGTTCTGGTCAGCTGCTCCTGAATGAGGCAGAAGCGACTCTGAAGATAGGGAAGTTGCTAGGGCTGAAATATAAAGGGAATGATGAGGAAGTAATTAGCAAATTGATGGAACTGGAAGTTAAGGATAAGGAGGTGCTGGGTAAGAAGGGTAGTAAGGCAGAGTAGTCTGTATCTGCTGTGGAGTTTTTGGTGAGTAAATTTGTTTTAATGAAGCTCTTATCTTGGAACGTTAGAGGGCTAGGCAAGTCCATTAAAAGGAGGAAAATCAAAAAACTTCTATTTGAAAGAAAGGTGGATGTGGCACTGTTTCAAGAAACAAAGAGACCTGCTGTAACTGATGAATTTGTCAGATCTTGTTGGCCTGGGGAACAGATGGCCTATATGGCTGTGGACTCAGAGGGTGCAGCTGGTGGTCTACTGTGTGTCTGGAATCCACAAGTGTTTCAACTTCTAGATTGCTGTTGTAACAGGTATTTTATTATTTTGTCTGGCACCCTTTTTACAAGCATAGCTTGTGTTATTGTGAATGTTTATGGCCCGACTGATGGTGCTAATAGGAAGGGATTATGGGAAACTTTGAAGAATTTGAAGAGAAGCTTTGTTAATCCTTGGTGCTTGGGTGGTGACTTTAATGAGATTAGGACATTATCTGAGAGGGTGGGCTGTTCTCAAAGAAGTGGTGGTATGAAGGACTTTAATGAGTTAATTGATAACCTGGAAGTGTGTGACTTACCAATGTTGGGGAGAAAGTTCATTTGGTGTAATTCTCAGAATGGTCTCAAATGGAGTAGGCTGGAAAGGTTTTTAATTAGTCCAGATTGGTTGCAAAAATTTAATTTTAAATTGTGGGGATTACCAAGAAGGCTCTCGGATCATTGTCCTATATTAATGATGGAAGACGAAAGAGATTGGGGTCCAAAGCCATTTAAGTTTCTAAATGCCTGGTGTCTTCATCCGCAGTTTAAGATTTTTGTGCAGAAAATTTGGGCTGAATCTCATGTAAATGGTTGGGCTGGATTCAAATGTTTACGGAAACTGAGATTACTTAAAGCAGCACTGAAAAGATGGAACCTTGAGGTGTTTGGCAAGGTGGATTTTAAACTCAAGCAACTGGAGGAGGAGATACATGTCTTGGATTTGGTGGCTGAACAAAGATTACTCACTGATGCAGAGAGATCTACACTTAGGGAGTTAAAAGGTGAAGCATGGAATTTGAGTAAAATGGTTGAATGGTTATGGCTGCAGAAGTCCAGAGCTAACTGGTTATTAAAAGGCGATAGAAATACCAAGTTTTTCCATGTCATGGCCTCCACGAGGAGGAATAGGAATGCACTGTGCTCAATTGAGGTTAATGGGGCCTTGACTGAAGATCCTAAGGAAATAAGAACCGAAGTGTTCAATCATTTTCAGCGTCAGTTTTCGGAATCATGGTTTGATAGGCCAAGTTTATATGGTCCATTTAAGTCTATTGGGGTTGGAGAGGCACGTGCTGCGTTGGAAGCTGAGTTTACATAATCTGAAGTTGTGGTAGCTCTCAAGAATTGTGATGGGAATAAGGCCCCTGGCCCTGATGGCTTTAATCTTATGATGCTCCAGAAGTGTTGGCAAATAATTAAAGGGGATGTGATGCAGTTCATGAGTGAGTTCCATACTAACTCAAAGTTGGTGCTTGGTATTAATAGTTCCTTTGTAGCCTTGATTCCAAAGAATGAAAATCCTTCTTCTCTCAGTGATTTTAGGCCTATCAGTCTGATTGGATCATTGTACAAAGTGCTGTCTAAAGTCTTATCCTGTAGACTTAAGGTGGTTTTACCGAAGATTATTAGTGAGTCTCAATCAACTTTTATAGGGGATAGAAGTATTCTTGATGGTATCCTGGTTGCTAATGAGATTGTTGATGATTGGAAGAAGAAGCAAAAGAAAGGTCTTATCTTAAAGCTCGATTTTTAGAAAGCATACGATTCAATAAATTGGGAGTTCCTCTTCTCCATGTTATCAAACTTTGGTTTTGGTTCAAAATGGATTAAATGGATGAAGGAATGTGTCTCTACTGTCAAAATCTCTATTCTGGTAAATGGATCACCTACAGCTGAGTTTAGTCCCCAAAGGGGACTTAGACAAGGTGATCCCTTATCTCCCTTTCTCTTTAATATTGTAGCTGAGGGTCTTAATATTCTGATACAAAGAGCTGTTCAGGCTGGATTGATCAAGGGTGCATCAGTTGGTTCAAATGATCTTACTATCACTCACCTACAATTTGCTGATGACACAATTTTGTTCTGTGAGGCAAAGAGGGAGGAGGTGCTTAATATCAAAAGAATATTGAGATGTTTTGAAATCTTGTCTGGGTTGAAGATAAATTATCACAAGAGTGTAGTGTGTGGTGTTGGTATTAATGAGGACCTTACCAAAGATTTTGCTGTCATATTGAGCTGCCTGCATCATAGGTTACCTTTGAAGTATTTAGGGATGCCATTGGGGGCTAATCCAAGGAGGAGACGGTCTTGGCAACCTGTCATCGATAATTTCAAACTAAAACTTGCTTCTTGGAAGCATAGGCTTCTTTCCTTTGCTGGTAGGTTGACAATGCTCAAGTCTGTGCTGGCTTCACTACCAGTCTATTACTTATCTTTGTTTAGAATGCCTGAAGGGGTAGCCAAAGAGATTGATAGAATTCAGTCCAGATTTCTCTGGGGGGCGATGAACTTAGAAGGAAAATTCACATGGTAAAGTGGGAGGAAATTACTCTAAGCAAAAGTAACGGGGGTCTAGGTATTAAAAAGGTGAGAATCATGAATGAATGCCTTCTTCTCAAATGGTGGTGGAGGTTTGGGAGTGAATTTGATTCTATTTGGAAACAAGTGATTCTTAGTAAGTACCCACAGACTGGTGGTGCTAGGTGGCCAGATCAAGATGCAATTTCCAGATATTCTATGGTGTGGAGGGACATTTTGAGGGTTGCTATTAAGTGTCCAGAGTTGCTGGAGTCATTTAAGGCCAACTCAAAGATTAATATTGGGGATGGGAGGCTCATAAGCTTTTGGCTGGATCAATGGGTTGGTACTGACTGTTTAAAGAATTTATTTCCTAAATTATACTCTTTGTTTATGCATAAAGGTCTATCAGTGGCAGTGATTACTAGCGAAAGCAATGGAGATGGGGAGTGGGATTTGTCTTTCAGAAGAGCATTGTTTCAATGGGAACTTGAAGAGTTGAGGAGGATGAAGGAGTTACTACAAACTGCTCCAGAGCTCAGGAATGGTGTGCTAGATGGGTTGTCTTGGGCTGCTGACAGATCGGGTATCTTTACTGTATCGTCTGTCTACAAGTGGAGTGAATTACCATCTAATCTGCCTACAAAAGTGGTGAATCTCATCTGGAAGAATGCTGCACCTCCGAAAGTGCAATTTTTTGCTTGGCTAGCATGGAAAGGTAGGATCAAGACTTCTACCTTTTTGCAAAGTATTGGGATCCTTAGTGCCAACTCTGATGTTAACTGTGTTTTCTGCATGAAGGAAAAGGAAACTGCGTCCCATGTGCTGCTGTGCTGTATGTTTAGTTGGAGAGTTTGGTCTAATATTCTTGGATGGTGGGGTGTATCTTGGGTGCAGCCGGGGTCAGTAGTGGGTCTTCTTCAATGGTGGACTGGGGTTACATGCACTAAAAGATTGAAGGTAATTTGGAAGTCAATCCCATTGGCAGTGCTTTGGTCTTTATGGAAGCAGAGGAATGATATTATTTTTAACAAGGCACAGTTGCACTTCGAAAAGCTGTGTGATCTTATCAAAACACGGATTGCATTGTGGTTCAGAGCTTCTAGTCCTTCATTGTGTTATTCAGTTGGTGATTTGGTGTCTAATTTACAAAATGTGAAATTCTGCATCATGCACTGAGGGTTTAAACTATCTACTGCTGTTTTTGAATGTTGTTTCTGTTATGGTGCAATTGATTTAGAAGGGGTTCTGTTTTGATGTGTTATTCTGTTGTGACTGATCTGTCTAGCTTATGTGATCCAACATCCAAGCTTGCTCATAATGTGTGCTATCACATATAATCTGTTTTGATTTGGTGCTTGGATTGGTTGAAGGGCTGCTGTAGCTTAAGGGAATGCGTTTGGGCTGCTGTAGGATTGAACAAAACTTGGAAGCTCTATGGGCTGAATTTATATGGGTGAATTTCCCATCTGCTGGTTTTGCTCTGCTCCTGGAAATTGGTAACATCTGAAAGGGTGATTCAGCTATCTCTTTGCCCTTATCTGCTCTATTAGATAGAACTGGTGCTGCTTCTCAAGTGGTTATGCTGCTGTCAATTCAGTTTGTTTGTTTTTGTGTTGGATGGGTGTTTTTTCAGTTGTTTGTTTTTGTATTGTGTTGGTCTCTCACCAACTAGGAGGTTAGAGCTCATTACAGCTCCCAGCTCCTCTTTATTGATGTTTTCTATCATATGTTTTGTATATGTGATTCATCAATAAAGTGTTCTTTTGCCGATCAAAAAAAAAAAAAAAAAAGAATGCTGATGGAAACAACACAGATTGGTGGCGGTGTGCAAAGACTAATTGATCTTCAAGCTTCAAGAAAGACGGTGGCGGAGACATTGATTGTTGGCTGTGGTGGCCATGCTGGTTGATCCAGGTTTGGTTGTAGAGTTTTGGTTTTCTACATCTATTGATCTCCAAGTTTGGTTCGGTTTTTGTTTTAAATTTAGTTAGGTTTTTGAGGTTTGGTTAGTGTTTTGCTATATTAGAAATCCTGCTTCTATACAACTCTTTTCGGTTCTTCTTCTTCATTGAATATGTTGAACCCCTTCTTCTATTAAATCAGTAATTGCCTAGTGCGCACAAAATTTTTTATGTTTGGGTTTTTTATTTCCAAACCTAACCAATAAACTGAAGAAGATTAACAGAAGATTTTGATCTAACATGCGGTTGAAATCAGTTAAGCATATTCCCACTCGAACAGGTTCAGTCAAGTGACCGATTTTGACAAACCTGACCTGAATTGACCCGTGCACTACAAAAAAATTTGTTTTTTGCGACGGTAAACGGCCGTCGCAAATGCTCCCGGAAGCCGTCGCTAATGCCTTTTGCGACGGTAATGTGGCTTTTTGCGACGGTAAGGGGGGGTCGCGACAGATGGGGTTGCAAAAGACCTTTCGCGACGGTAAGTACCGTCGCCATTAGTTTCTGCGACGGTAAGGGGTGTTTTTTGCGACGGCATTTTTCCCGTCGCAAATAATGGGGAAAAAATCACTTTTCGGGACGGCACGTAATTCCCGTCGCTAAAAGTGAGTTTTTGAGACGGGAACATTACCGTCGTTAAAGGCTCTGGCATCTTATAAGTATTGGCGACGACACGGTTTACCGTCGCTAAAGGTGTCCTGTACATTCAATAAGACAGCTTTTGCGACTATGTTGGTACCGTCGCAAAAGCCTATTAATGGTTTTTGCGACGGGTTCTTCTCCCGTCTCAAAAAATTAAAAAAAAAAAAAAAACCCTGCTGATAAATTATTAAAAAAATTAAAATAACCTGTATTAGATAAAAAATAAGTATAAAAAATTGAAAAATTACAGAATAATATAAATACGTACATAAACAAAAATTGACAAATAATGAAAATTAATAATATTGTTCAATTCATAGCAATACATAAATAAAAATTCATAACAATAAAAATTATGCCACTACATAACGTCGCATAATACATACATAATGTTGCTCACAAATTTAAATAACATAAATCAAAAGCAAAATCAAAAGTTTTCGTCTTCATTCGTTCGTGGGTTACAAAAACAAAAATTGGTCATAATCTTGATACGCCCGCATTCCAGAAAAAAGCCAACTGCTACTCAGGAAATATCTGAAAAAAACAAGATAAAAATAATTAAAAACCATATAATGTGTTAATATTTTAATTATAGAAAAATATAAAAAAAAAATTGACAACTATATAATTAGAAAGATAGTTTAGTAAATAATTTTGACTGGACCGAAATCCGGCTCTAACTCCCAAACCGGGAACCCGATTCGAGCCCCGTCTTCTCCCACAAGTCTCTCGTGCCTAGGCGGTCGTGTGTCTAGTAAATGCAGCCTCAAACTCGGCCAC